CTGTCTGTGAGGTGTTAGCAGTCACACACCAACTAATCAAAATAAAAATAAACTATGTGCAGTCACACACCAACTAATCAAAATAAAAATAAACTATGTGCAGTCACACACCAACTAATCAAAATAAAAATAAACTATGTGGCAGATGTATGCACAATGGGTATTGTTGTGTCAGACTGTTGAGTCTCAATTGGAATCACCCTCCCCTGTACCCAACGAGCCTGTAGGCATTATCAAGCGGTGGTGTCTAAGGTGTGCATTAGCAGCCCACCCCCTGTGCCTAAGGTGTATGCTTATGACCAGCCTGCCCGTTCTTTACCCTCGCGTGCAATGAGCCTTACATCTGACTGATCTGGCTGATCAAGAGGCAGTTTAAGGACAGCCCCCACGGTCCTCAGGAATTATTTAACGTCACAATCAGGACGACGATCACAGCCAGTGGACAGTTCAAACACCCGCCAGAAATATTTATCGATGGTCTAGAAGTGTCTACATTAGGACTGGTCAGTCCGCAACCCCCTTCTATCAATGCAGCAAAGAGCCTTCAAAGGACAAAGCAGCAGGGCCTGTGTGAAGTACTCCCATGGGTTGGCATGGTGACCGTGACCCGTGCTTCGACCAGGGCCCTTCAAAGGCACCGCCCTCTCCTTCCAGTGTGCCACCGGGAAACATGTCGTCTCTCGAGGTAGAGCGCTCACGACTCCTCACACAAAAGAGAGGACACTCAAGGTTGGACTCACTTCCTCGCGGTAAGAAGAGATTGAGAGGGTAGATAAGGAATGGGAACAACGTACCTGGAGATAGCCGCCCCCAATCACAGATTTCTCACCAATTGAACCGACCTGCATTTCGATGACCAGTCATAGCCTCGGTACCACCCACAACGTGACGCAGTGCCACCTCAGCAAAAATGCCACATCAGCATGCTCTCATCACCATACGTACATCCGTTGTCGCCACAGCTCCCATGCTGTTGCCACAGTCTTCCAGCCGCCGGCCCCTCTACCTGGGCCGCGCTCTATCAAGCCAGCGCCGAAGTATCCTTACTGCACATGAATCATCGTCAGCGCACCAAGAGACAGTGTCGCCAGCGCCAGGTAAGCGGCGATCACGAACCAGCTCCGATACCAAATTGCAAGGAATATGAGTGGGAACGATATACAGAAAACCAAGTTGCGAAATCACACAGATGTACAAGTAGTCGTGAACAAGCAGAGAGCACCAATGCAGCGAGATTCCATCCAAATAAGAGCCATACAATGAAGTAATGAGCCAATGTTCAAGCCCTCAAGCCACAGCAACACAGTATGCAAAGTCGCTCCTCTGTCTGGCGCCCAACGCCCAGCCTACACTACCTCACTATCCTACCTATCAGCATTCTCGCAAAAGGCTCACTTCCACTCTCGGAGACCAATGTACATGACGTCAACACCATAACCGACCTCTTCCATGTACCAGGTACGTATCTCGCTTCCCCTCATCAGACCCTGTCCACCCACACTCTGCCTCCTTCCTGAAGACCACCGATCGCCCGCTCACCCCCTAGTGCCCTGCAGCCCGGCTATGGCTGCTTGTGCCCCGCTGCCCAGCAGCGCCCCTCTTCACCACACACGCGCCCGCACGCGCTCTGGCCTCAGCACAGCACGCAGCCTCTAACGCAGCAGCGCAGCAGTGTGACCGTATTGCCTGCGTGGGCCAGAATACCCCGGGCCTGGCTGCTCTTCTTCCTACATGGAAGAGGCAGCCCCTGCGTTGCTGTGTGTGGCCTGGCTGGAAGCTTCCAGTAGCTTCCTGTTGGGCCCCAGTACCTGCGCCCAGACCTGAGACTACAGTTGAGGGCCTAGGCCCTTCACAGTTGGGCACGGCCTCAGCGTTTGCTGCATTTTGCACAGGACCCGGGGTCGACAGTACTGCTTTTGCATAGGCCTGTGGCCACTTCAAGATGCCTGAACAGTTGTGAGGACACGTGTTCGAGCCTTGTGCGCGCTGAGGCGTGCGGGTGGGTGTGGACTGGAGTTGAGCACGACTCCTCTCAACGACTCGGATTACCGCACCATATACAACGACCCCAACAGCTTAGACCAAACACAGCCCTGCTTTGTGTGTATGTGCCCAGGCGCAACTGCCAAGGCCTGGGCCAACTGTACGACGCAGCTTAGTGAGGCTCACGCGTCCACTCAACCAACTCGCGTGCTGCCAGGGCCTGAAAACCCACATATAAAATTTGTCGCATTTTGGCCTTTGATGAATATTCAGGCCCGCCTTCACTTAGGGCGGGCACTTGGCTTGCTGGGGGCCTGTTACATCTTCGACGCACACGGGCCCTACCGGACCCGACTTAGGGTCGGAGGGACACATCAGGGCCTAAAGGCCCGACCTTGGGATAGTACAGGCCCTCAGGGCCTGATCTTGGACCAGTACCCAACGGGCAGGCCCTATCATTTGGGCCTGGCGGCGCTCTTGAGGCTGCCGCCCGCCGGTTGGGGCTGAACCGTCCATCTGGACGGTTCAGGGCATGGCCAGGCCTCACAGCATTGAGGCCGGCCTCTGCCCCACCGGTATAAAGTACCGGTACAGCCTCACTTGGAGGCATCGACCTACCGCCACTATACCGGTACGGTATGGTCAGCGCCAGAGCGCTGTTTTGATGCGCTAAGCTTAGCGCAGGAGCGAGCAAGGAGCAGCAGCGGCAGCGCAGCAGCAAGCGGAGCAGCAGCAAGCGGAGCAGCAGCAGGGCGACTGAGCCAGCACGGCGGCCATTGCCGCCTGAGGTACCTGGGAGCCGGAGGACCTCTTCTTCTTCTTCTTCTTCTTCTTCTTCAGACTAGAGACTTATGCTAGTTGGACAGAGATCAGAGTTGGACTTCGGTGATATGAGACTGTGGTACTTACCAGATTGGAGACTTGGAGATCGTTGGGGTTGATGCTTGGCGACATCACAGTTCAGACACCGGTTACATTTGGACTCTGTATTCCCGACATTGGTGACCTATGGTCCTCGACATTTTGATCTTGTTGGACRACATTTTGGACTACCATATCGGTGACCTATCAGATTCTACCTCGGTGACTTTCGGTGCTGTCTACCTCCCCCCACCTCTTCGTCTCTCCTCCCCCATTCATCTGTGTATGTGTGTACGGGGCTGAGCATCTTCTATGTATGGCTCAGACCCCACCATCTCACGATTGAATGTGTGTGGAGTGATGCTATGTGAGTCAGTCTATAAGAGTCACTCTATGTGAGTCAGTCCGTTTATCAGACTTCCGTTGCATCTATACTCATCCTACATTGGTTGATTCTTGGTTCTGCCCATACTCATTGGAGTATGCAACAG